CACATGATAGCATCAATCAATAATAAAATAACGAAATTTTACAGAACCCAAATATCTTGTCTACGTAATGTTTTACTAACACGATAAAATAAGGATCCAGGCGTCGTATAGCAACGAATAGTGTCGTTTGATTGGGTTGATGTGGGGTGTCTGTGACTGTAGGTGTGGGTAAGAAATAGTAAAGCGTCTTCTTTCATCCCACACCCACCACACAGTTGCACTTATACTCACCCTGAACTACACGCAGCTATACTTCACACTCACATCCACCCCCAGGGATTTTAATCTATAGTTATCAACGATAAGAAAGTGCTGAAAGTTATACTATCGTGAAACGTTTCCCCTCATTTTGGGCAGTAACAGTCTGCAAAAGTAGGATACTATCAGATGTTCGATCTACTTCCTAAACAAAGTTGATTATCGAACATTATTCGACACATCATCAAAAATCTTGTCAGGAACTTTTTCATGTATCACAAGATAAACGTCAGATGAGAATATGAAAATTGTTGGCTGTTGAAGTAATCTCTCTAATTGTCAAATTTCTTTTCCACCAAAGTGAGGTTCATTTGATGAGTAATAGAAAAGTGTAGATTGGTTTGTTGTTTTGAATCTTTGTTCTCCACGTATCGAAATTTTACTGAATGTTTCAGCATAAAAACATGTAGTCCCCTTCCCCGCAGGTCATCTACAATCTAGAATTTCGACTTCAAACTTTGTACGACCAAAAAACCTTAACGAGATTAGTAAATATGAAAGGTTTCGACCATTCAATACCTTCGGATAGACAAAAACTAGAAAAGTTACAACTCTTCCAAAGAATTAATCTTTTGTTCATGCAGAATTTAAATTCGAAAGTCGATTTTTCATATAACCTGAGTAGGACTACAGGTTTTTGTTGAAGAAAACCCGAAGACCAGAAAAGCAAATTCATTCTAAACTCTTCTATTATTCATTAAATGAACATCACCTAAGTCGACAAACATATTGATCCGTTAACTTAAATTTTTGTTTGCTCTGTTTTGATTGATATGATATATTTTCAACAAGAATTAAACAATAATTTGATTTCTATACTTTTAGAATGAATGTGTAACATGGTAAATCATTTTTACGTTCTAAATACATAATGCAATGTGATAACAAATAAATTATTCATCTTTGAACGATTTTTTCTCTTCATCTTCGCCTTAGTTATTTTCTATCTTTGTCTTTGTCTCTACAGTCTTCGACATGAAACCAGAATATAAATTTAGATTACCAGAAAGATCCCTCGTCATGATCTTAACTACAACATTCAAGAGTAGTCCTGTTCCATGTAAGCGTCAATAGATGGCGCTCATTGATGCTAAACGTGAAATATATTTATTATTTGTTTCTTTGATCCTCTTTGATCTGTTGCGTACTCTCTCGACTATGGCTGACACTCTTGGTTGAGTCATTGTTTTCTTTTTACCCAGTTGTTGATTTTCTCTCCTGTTGATTATTATTACCATCATTACCATTATTCTTGCTACTATCGTCATTATTATTCTTGTTATAGTCGATTATAGTTATAGTTTATGTTAACACAATAAACATATTACCCACTCTTTCTCATTATCATATATTACGTTATTACAACATCACATTCTTGTATGTTTTTTAATGTGGACCATTCTCGTCTAATTGCGGACATGACATAACGAGCTGTTGGTACATCAAATCTACGTAATATTTCGAATAAGAGAAATATTTTTGACAGATCAATAATTGCAAAGCTTATATTCAATCATGGTACTTTCAATTGATATATATTCTAAAAGAAATGAATCGCGGAATCAAGTAGCACATACTAGTCATAAAAAAAGATAACTGCTTTACAGTCAGACGTCTCTTCATATCTTATATAGTTCATCAAAAGCACTAGCGTATAATTTCCATATTTCAGATCCATATGCAATTTCTTCATTTGAAACAGTGATTGTACGAGTACAAATACTTTACACTTAACGATTACACTTTATACTGTAGTATCGTTACTGACGAGGGGAGGTCACCAACTGTTAAATCGCCTGTGCGTTGAGACTATGTGAATGATGTAGGTACCAATGAGCTATGTATATCCTGAAAAAAGTTCGGATTGCTAGCTTATTCTTACGGAGATACTGCATTTTTATGATATGCTTTTAAATAAATGCCGTGGGCCACCTCAGGGACATCCGAAAAATTGATTTTTGAATTTCGACTTGAAACTTTACTTAGAAAGAGGCTTTACCAGGGATAGTATTTTGTGAAAGTTTCGGGTGTTATGACTTCTTCCTATTCTGAAATGAGAACATCAAATCTTCTGATTTAACCGAATAAAATTATCATAATTATATCTACGGATAGGAATTGCAGAAAGATCTGAAAATTTCACAAAATACTATTCTTGTTAAGGTCTCTTTCTATATAAAGTTTCAATTCGAAATTCAAAAGTCAATTTTTCGGATGTACCTAAAGGGGACCACGGCATTCATTTAAAAGCATACCATAAAAGTGCAGTATCTTCGTAGCAATAAACTAGCCGCCTGAACTTTTTTCAGGATATTCATAGCTCATTGGTACCTACATAATTCATATAGTCTCAATCCAAAAGCGATTGATCAGTTGGTGACCTTCTCTCGTGAGTACAAATATACCTAGTACCATGTACTTAAGTACAAAGTATATTTTAAGCTAGACTTTGATTAATATTTTACGAAACACAATATGAAAGGAGTGCTGAAGTCTGTAGGATAGATGTTTTGGATTCATTCCCTTTCCCTCAAACTTGGCAGACAGATCGGAAAGCTGATAGCAACGCGTTACACGTATGGCATACGTTGGTTTGAGACTTATAAATAATGGCAAATGTTGTTAATACACAATCATAGATTGCATGTTAGTTACGACCTGCTATCATACACCAATTACTTCCTTATTACATTTTTTGGGATAAAGCTGAAGGAGGGTGCAGCCTAACAGTAGCTAGATTGGATTTTATGGATAAATTACGTTGAGGTTGCGCTGGCAGTGTTTTCTTTCTGAACATCTACTGTTTTAGTAGCTTGATAACATTTGTAGTGGTACAAAGAAAAGTATGGGTGCCGGTGTGTATGAATGGGGGTAATTAAAATGCATCCACACCGCACAACCATAGACACCCCTTGCTTTCATTAATAAAGAAAAGAGATGAAATAAAACGGCAAATATTGTCATGTCTCTTGTATTTTAAACGCATTGAACAGTGGATTTTTTTTTTTCGGTAGATTTTTTATAAATCCAAAATGGCAGATGCAAACCATGGTATCTCAAAAGAAGGAGCAGTTGGCAAGAATATGGCTGGTGCTCTAGGTGGTCATACACAAGGTACAATATCAAGTAATTATAAAGGAATGCCGAGAAATGCCAATCCGCATTATCCTCACAATCCTGCGAATAGTCAACCAGTAGCTGAATGGACTCAAAACAAAATGCAAGAATGTCGGAAGAATGCAGCAAAAAAGAAATGACATATCACTCTACATTTACACAGCTATTGTGTAAAGTTTTCAAAGTTTATTTATAGTCTTGATTTTTATTTTATTTAAGTTTCTCGATTATAATAATTTAAATCTGCAATTTTACTCAGGTCAGGGCTGCCGGTATGGATGGGTGAGTATAGGAATGAGTTGTGAGAAAATTTCTTTCTTCATTAGACACACAAGCCCTACTCCTGTTGTACGCAGAAGAGAACAAGTCAAGAGATGAGTTGAATATTTAGAAAGCTTGAGATGGAGGTATTCGTATTTGTAGTTAATTAGGAAAGATATATTAGAGTCAAATCACAGCTTATCATTAAACTAAGAAATTTAAATTATAGGGTTCTGTTATCATGTCTAGACCGGGTATTTGTATCTTTGGATATTTAAAGCATATTCAACGTACTCACAAATCAAAATTTTGACGGATTTTTTGGTTTACTCATCGTAGTTAAGTCGAGCTCGTCGAGTTATACAAGAAAGAGCATGCTTTCAATTCGAAAAGAAATAAGGGTGCGGGTGGGGTGGGTGCCAATATAGATCAGTCAGACCCATACCCACACCCTAATATGTTTCACAATTATTGCCCAGACAGACATTTCCTCAGCTAAAGATCCTTATTTTATTGTTTGGTTATTGCTCTTTGACTCAAATTCTATTACGATTAAAAAATGAAACCTATCAAAACTCACTTAATTCTAATACCGAGATATCTCTCTATTTTTCTCCATCAACAGACGCTAGACTATAAAGATTTAACATCGAGAAGACTATATTATTCGAAGTATCTTTTTGGCTCTGCTAATGTGATAAGAAGAAGCAAAAACATCTGGTTTTGAGAAATGTTGCTGTGAAAGGATTTCACTTTTATTCTGTGCCCAAGCAGTCATGTGATGGGTATTTCCAGGTGTCGATCTGAACCATCCTATAGGTTGATGAAATTAAGAATTGTTCACCCATCGCTGTTCCCTTGACCTATCGGAAAATGGCACTTCGACGTGTCGAGATAATACTTCAATACCCATCGATGGATCTTTTTCGATGGGCCCAATTCTCAGGAATCGCGAGGAGTCGATATTCCGAACAGTCGAACGTTTTTCTAAAATTTCAAAAAAACTTTGCTCTTTGCATCTGATTTTTTTCCAGCACTCGATACCTATCGGATTTTTTGCCGAAGTGACGATTCGAACACGCGTAATTACGGATACGAAGCTTGCATAGATCAGATGAACTAAATATAACGTTTTAATTTTAGATGAATCCAAGTGTCGTCATGAAATATGTTTAACTTTTATACTTTGTATGTGGTTTTTTTGAAAAAGCAACTCGTGATATATATATATATATATAACTATTGTTGATATTAAATAAAAGCGATTTTATCTGTTATCAGTTCCATTGTATTAAATAAAAAATTTATGCTAAAGCATAAATTACATTACAATTAATTAGGTTATGTAAAAAAAAGCAACAAAAAAAAATATTGACACTAAATTTAGGCAAAGTTAACTTATCTATCCCTATTAAGTTTATAATATTCAACTATCTCAGTAACTTCGAGGACTAAAAAGTAAACCGATAGTTTTAAATGATCCTATGAACTTTCTTTGTCAACGAGTAATTGAAAATCAGAATTAGTCAAGAGCTTAGAAGCTTTGAGGTGTTATGAAAGTATATTCATTATGATTATTTTTTTTTCTCGAGACTGCAAAGATATTTCTATCTTTGTCCTAGTTGTAAATGATAAATAATATTGTTTCAATGATCAAACTACGTGAAAGCACCTGTCGCAAACCAAAATTCTCCAGATGGATCATGTAATAAGAGTAAAAAAAATCATTCAAAAACTGAATTTCTGAGTCGTC